GCATCTCCCCGGCCATGGCATCCCCCGGCGACCAGAGCGGGGTGGGCGGGCACCTCCTGGAGGTGGGCGGGGCCTCGCTCACCTGGAACACCTGCAGCACCTGTCCCAGGTCCGGCCCCGGCAATGCGCTGACTGCGGACACCCCCAGCCCGCTCCCAGTCTCCCCCAGCCCGCTCCCCCAGGCACAGGTCACCCTGCCCGCCGGGAACATGGGGGGCAAGCGCTTCAACAAACTGCTCTCCCATGTCAGGAGACTGCCCCACAAATACCACCTGCTGGGGGGCAGCGAGCTCAAGGCAGAGGTAAGGGGCAGTGGGCACTAGGAGGGGAGGGTGGGATACCAGGCTCGTGGAAGTGGCCATTGAGGGCATAAAGGGGCACTAGACATGGCACTGAGAGCACAGAAGGGGCACTAGACATGGCACTCAGGGCACAGGAGGGGCACTAAACATGGCACTCAGGGCACAGCAGGGGCACTAAACATGGCACTGAGCACAGAAGGGGCACTAGACATGGCACTCAGGGCATAGAAGGGGCACTAAACATGGCACTGAGGGACACAGAAAGGGCACTGAGAGCACAGAAGGGGCACTAGACATGGCACTCAGGGCATAGAAGGGGCACTAAACATGGCACTCAGGGCATAGAAGGGGCACTAGACATGGCACTCAGGGCATAGAAGGGGCACTAGACATGGCACTGAGGGGCACTAGACATGGAAATTTAGTGTACTAGACATGGCACTGGTAGCACAGAGAGGGCACTGGGGGCATAGAAAGGGGCACTAGACATAGCACTAAGGGTGTAGAATGGGGCACTGACTATTCAGTAAATGGTGGAAGCTGCTTAGGTTTGAAACAAGTATGGCACTATGCAGTATACTGAAGTCTGCATCGGTGGCACTGGGCAGTATGCTGAGGAGGTAGCTGTAGTAGGGGCAATGTTGTGCTGGTTTTGAAACACTGTATGTAATACTGGGTATATGTGCTAGTATTGTTAATTCTGGCTGTGTAAAGTAGACCGCTTACTTTGAGCAAATTTAATCTAATACAGGTCCCTAGTAAAGTACCCGGTGTTGAGGTATTTGTACCCATATACCGGGTGTTGAGGTATTTGTACCCATAAACCCTGTGTTGTGGTATTTGTGTGTCCATATACCCTGTGTTGTGGTATTTGTGTGTCCATATACCCTGTGTTGTGGTATTTGTGTCCATATACCCGGTGTTGTGGTATTTGTGTCCATATACCCTGTGTTGTGGTATTTGTATGTATATACCCATTGTTGTGGTATTTGTATCCATATACCGTGGTATTTGTATCCATATACCGTGGTATTTGTATCCATATACCCTGTGTTGTGGTATTTGTGTGTCCATATACCCTGTGTTGTGGTATTTGTGTGTCCATATACCCTGTGTTGTGGTATTTGTGTGTCCATATACCGTGGTATTTGTGTGTCCATATACCGTGGTATTTGTGTGTCCATATACCGTGGTATTTGTGTGTCCATATACCGTGGTATTTGCGGTAGTCCATATACCGCGGTATTTGTGCGCCATATACCGGTATTTGTGTGTCCATATACCGGTATTTGCGTCCACATACCGCGGTATTTGTGTGTCCATATACCGCGGTATCGTGCGTCCATACCGCAGTATTTGTGGTGTCCATATACCGCGGGTATTTGTGCGTCCATATACCGTGGTATTTGTGCGCCCATATACCGCGGTATTTGTGTCCATATACCCTGTGTTGTGGTATTTGTGTGCTATACCGCGGGTATTTAGGTGTGTCCATATACCGGTATTTGTGCGTCCATATACCGTGGTATTTGTGCGTCCATATACCGTATTTGTGTGTCCATATACCGCGGTATTTGTGTGTCCATATACCGCGGTATTTGTGTGTCTAGTATACCGTGGTATTTGTGTGTCCATATACCCTAAAGTTGTGGTATTAAAGTTGTTATTGGTGAAAGCAACAATAGTGCTCTCAATTTTGATGTGGTTCAATGTGCAGATAAGAAGAGGCAAAAAACTCACATTTGAGGGAGCTATGGCCAGCTCTGGTGTGGATAGCGTACAGCGGTATAATCCCCGCTTATAGGATATGTAGCGGCGATACGTCCGTCAGCACCGTCTGGTGATCCAAGGCTCCAATATAGAAGAATAAAAAGCAGCAAAAGTGCTCTCAATTGTGATAGGTTAAGAGAGTAGTAGAGAAAATAAAATAATACTCACAAAGATAGAGCAGAGGTACTGCTCTATGGATAGGCGCTGGTGGTATGATCCCCACCTAGGATTTCTTGGAGTACTGGAACTTTAAAATTGCCAGTGGAAGTAAAAGTAACCAGGAAAGGTTAAAATGCCAGGAATAGGTAAAAAAGTTGTTTAAAGTGCATAAAGAGTGCAATAAAAAGAGGATTGGTACAATAAAGTAGCCAAAAAACTTTTATTGATCTAAAATACACAGTAAAATACAGAATTAATAACCATAAACGCATTTCACCATAAGTGGCTTCTTCAGAATGGGATAAAAGTAGTAACCTGGCAGGGGTTGTTTAAATAGGGCTATGTTAATTTGAAAATTGCGCCAAAAGTGTAATTGGCCAATCAGAGACAATTTTTAAAATCACTTTTCAAAATTAGGATTCAAGAGTATGGGAGTGATGTTATAAAGGTGATGAGTCCATTTAAATTATTTAAATGTGAAAACGAGGGTGAGAAAGTTGTTTTTAAAGAGAAAGAAAGGAAGAAAAAAAAAAGTTGATTAAAGTTCATTAAAAAAAAAGGGTTGTTTGATTAAAGTTCAAAAAAAAAAAAGGGTTGTTTGATTAAAGTTAAAAAAAAAAAGTGTTTGATTAAAGTTAATTAAAAGAACAAAAAAAAAAATAAGTAGATGGTTTAAAGGTACAGACATACAGAGATATATGTAAATGGAGTATGCATGAAAAGGGGGTAATATAATTCCAAACATAATGATTTAAATAGGGGTTATATTATACCCCAGAGTAATAACATGTTACAGATGTTAAATGAAAATAATAGATAAAATAAAAATAAAATTAAATAGAATTAAATAAAAAATAACACAGAATACAAGATACATAAATGGAAAGGCATAGATGAAAAATTAAAACTTAGAAGATTATTATTATTATGAGGGTTGGTTAGGTCCAGACATAAAGAATAAAAGCATGTAGATAAGGGTTGTATATAGGAATTTAAATAAAATTAAACAGGTCAAAATCAACATTTAAACCAGATGGGGTAAGAGTTTTGAGATTAAAAACCCATTCCATCTCAGCTTTACCTAATATGTTCTTAATGTTACCACCTCTCCATGGTATTATACATTTTTTTATGCCGATGCATTTAAGGTGTCTTATGTCGTTGTTATGTGTACAAAAGTGTTTTGAGACTGAGTGATTCAGGTAGCCTTTTTTGATATTTCTACAGTGTTCACTCAGTCTCACTTTAAGACTTCTTGTGGTCATCCCTACATACTGGAGACCACAAGGGCACTCCAACAAGTAGATGACATTTTTGGTATCG